CAGGCATACACATAAACGAGGAAGTTATAGAAAGTGGTTAAAAAAGGAACAGAATTATGGTTTCTAACTGAACCTCGTCGCCTTATTAATCTTCCCTACTGAGAAGAACATCGTGCATGTAAAATGTTGTTCGTAAGTGGCAATTGATATTCAAATATCTTTTAAACATTTCTTTTATACAGTGTATCCAAGATAAGAATCAATAGCATGAATTATAAAAAAATTGCGTATTTTAGGGTTTAGTAAAATGATGTCTTAAAAATTCGGATATTCCGATCAGTTAAACCGACCCTACATTATCAGTTCTAGCAAGTGCCTCAGTTCAGTCCAAGCTTGGCGCGAAACATCCCTACACATTCATGCCTGGACTGAACTGTGGACTGAACTGACTGAATACTGACAAATAACTGAGTGCTTATGGGAAGCATTACGAAGATATTCGAAAAAAACCGAAATTGACCATATTAGTTTTTATTTTTTCTGACTCTGAAAAGATATTAAAAACAAATACCAGAAAATTTTCAATCACAGATCTTTCAAAGGGTCGTTTCGTGTAAGAAACCATCAAGTTCATATTTTTATATAAAGATGGAAAAAATTACATACTACAATGAGTAGCAGTTTTGATTACGAATACAACGATGTATAATACAATATGATTCTTTATTATGGCATTTAAGGGAATGAATTATTTTGACATTTTATCAACGCCCACTACACCAAAATGTTAAAAAATTGTTATTATTTAAGTCCAAAAAGGCGTGTTATCCATTTTTTACATGGGAGTCTTCACAGATCTCTTAACAAATTCTTCAGATACTTAAGACACTCCTAGATTCTTCAGAGATCCTTTTCGAGTTTTGTACAGCCCGTTCTAAAACAATGCGCGTGTTCTTTGAACAATCTGTCCATGATTGATTTTGCAGATAACTTCTAGGAAGAATGCAGTTCCGCAAGTGGGATAGGTGCTCGGGACCTCGGGTACAACCAAGAGAGTCTCTGGTTCAAGCATGAAGTTATTGTAAGTGTTCAGTGCGCTGGGTTTGTGGAGCAACTTCGGGTAAATTACCAGCCACTTAAAAATTAAAAGGAAAAAGATTAGATTCCACAATGTTTTTTCAGCGATTTTCCAACGAATGTAGTGTGTTCTACATTTTAAAGATTCTCCGAAGATTTCGTAGTTTACATATTCATAGTCATATTTTTTATTCTTGAAAGATTTTTCCAAGAATTGCGATTTTGAGAGATTCTTCGCAAATTCTTTCGAGGTGGGTGCTCTAGAGAGGTTTCTAACAGGTTTTTCAGAAGCTTCTTGAAGATGATTAAAAATTCTTCAAAAACGTTTCAGCGATTATCAAAGTCTCCCCAAAATATCTTTATGATATTCTGCGCAAGTGATTTCTAGAAAATCCCTAAGGAATGCTTTCCAAGTAGAATTTTTAGAAATGAATTAGGTAAACATTCTTAATAGAGTGCTCAACATTTCTTTGATCATTCATCCAGACTATGCTGGTATCTTTAGCGCATTTTCCAACGAAGTTGGGTGCGCTATTGCGGTCACTTTCTCTGTCCGTCCGGCCGAGCCTACTCCTACTATTCCTACAGTTGTCAGCATATTTAGTTCGTCCTTTTTGAATTCGGTAGCTTATAGCTCTAGCACATGAGCCAAGAAAAATCGCGTGACTAATGTTTTTGGGAAGTACTGATAAATGCATGGAAATTGCGAAAGTTACTCGCCTTAGGGCGAAAACCTTTTTACTTGTTTAAATCTTTTTTTTTTAAGATTTTATAGAACCTCGCCTGAGAAATAAATGAAGTATACCTCAAAGGCTCTTCAGATACTCCTTGCAGATGTTTACTGATACATATTTAGATATCTCTCAGGCATTCTTCACAAAAGGCCCATTGACTTTTAAGAAATACCTCAAGTATTCTTCAAAGATTGTTTAAAACTTGAACAGAAGCTCTTCAGAGGTCTCTGAAGGAGTTCTTGTGAGTTACCTTATCTAAATTCTTCGGAGCGATTCTCCCGAAAAAATATAGAAAAAGAAACTATTTGAAAAATAAAAAATAAATATATTTTCCAATAATTCTATAGTGATTTTTCGAAGACCCTTTATAGTTATTTACATAAGTCAGGAAAATGATACATTACTGGCTAGGAAATATTGAAGTGCGAAGCCCCTTTGGGCCGAGTACTTTAATTTCCGAGTCAGGTAATGTCATTTTACTGGAGTTTTGTATTAAATTTTACCATTAATATCAATCTGTCAATAATGACATGAGTCATTATGGACATTTGGAAATGTCACAAATGCGGCCGGTAAAGTGACGATGCGTCCGGTAAAGTGACAGGTGCGGCTAATAAAGTGACAAGCGACAGGAAACGTAGTCTGCTTTGCCTCTGTCATAGAAGCTAAAATTTCCTGACAGAAAGTAGGCATGAAAATGAAGGTTTCAGGACGATTTTGGGTAAAATATTTTTTTCTATTTCGGTGTCACAATGATGATTTTGTACAACTGTTTTCGGCCGAAAACAGTTGTACAAAGACAGTGATTATAGTAGTTTTTTTGGTAGCTCATCTCTTAAGTTGGCAGTTACTAGTTAGTACAAGTAGGTACTTCGTTGGGTACTTCCATGTTTGAACTTCAAAATGTCAGTCTTACTACGCTGCCAACCTATAACTTAACGGCATAAAAAGTGTTCCCAACATAAAACATGTTAGTTCTAATGTTCCCTATAGTTTCTGATAATGATTTTTTAAATTAAATTAAAGCACCGACATAGAAAAAATAGTATGAAAAACGCGTGTTACAATGCTTTATTGTAATACTCCTATCTTGCGGACACTCGTGGCTACGCTTCGCGTCGCCACTCGTGGCACAGGATAGTCGTATTACAATAGGTCGCATTGTAACACTTGTCTTTCAATATACTATTACAGTACCCTTATACTGTGTTTATAAATTTTCAATTTATTTATTATTTAAGTCAGAAAAAAGGCTTGTTATTACATTGTTAACATCTTTGTGTAGTAGGCGTTGGCAAAATGCCAAATTTTTCATTGATGGTTCCTTTAAATGACATATCTAATAAAGAATCATATTGTGCCATACATCATTATATTCGTAATTAAAAAAATGCTACTCAATACAGTATGTACTTTTTTAGGGGCCATATAAAAATATGAAGTCCATGATAATTTCTTAAAGATGAAACGTCGCAGTATTTGTGGACACTATCTTGTAGAGCTGAAAAAGTGCCTATGAGCAAGTGTAATTTTGATATCTTTTCAAACAGGCCCAGAAAAAATAAAAACGAATATCGTTGATTTCGTTTTTTTCGAATATCTTCGGAACTGCTGAATTGCTAAGTCCTAAAATATGCAACTTTTTTCTAGTTAAACCGCGACTGTGTATTTCTTATGATTTTCCATTTCCCCATACTGTTCATTCTTATATTGGACACACTGAATACACAATAAATTAAAAAATGGAAGCATTAGTTGTTCATATGCTTTGAGGTACCAAATTTTGGGACTCTTTGTTTAGTTTGGAATGTTTATTGTAACAACCCTACTATTACATTTTTGGGAAATGAAAGCCCAATTTTCAATTTCGTTATGCGCCCATGTCTAAAGACGGCGCTGTACTACATATATTATTTTGTGTATGGTTTGTTTCGCTAGCAGTGGACTTGTTGGATTAATGATACTATTACTTGATTGGACTAAGGTTTCGGTTATCGGATGATTACATCTTTTTTTGTGTTGTTCCTAGAAAGTACAGTCTCCGCCCTCCCTCCGAATCCCATGCTTATTTCACTATTTGAGGGTGCCAGGTTATCAAGTGGAACGTAGACGGCAGGAATATTAGTATATCTCGAAAGGTCACTACCATTGGAAGGTGTCCTGACAGTACAAACTGCTTACGTTAAAATCAGTGTTGCCAATTTTCTAAGTTCATTGGCGGGCTTGTAAATATAAACTACGTTATGATGGAGGATGATAGAATTTTGCATGAACGATTCGGCAGTGACATCTAGAAGGATACAGGACCTAGAAGAAACAAGTAAAAGGTTTTCGCTCTAAGGCGAGTAATTTGATCGCATTTTACATGCACTGATCAGTACCTCCCAAAAGGTCATAACTAAGTGCACTATGTTCTTTTCTAATAGCATATATGGTTAAAACGTCAAAGAAATGTCTCCATAAGTAAGAAACGTAGTATTGCGCGCAGTTTGCGAGGTTGATAGCTTTCCTTTAAACGATGCCACAAGAAACCAACCAATTTTGAATTTAAAAAATCATCCTGGAAGATATACCTAAATATCAAGAATTCTAAGGAGAAATCCGTCATGTGCCCTTCTGTCTCTGTCAACAAATAAGTTTGACATGTTAAAATTGAAAAATGTTACATATTTCACGTATAGATCTTTGCAATAAATGTCAAAATATACGGTGCTCCAACAAAAATTTGTACAAAAAACCAAAAACCTGTCTATTTTCGTATCGAGGAGACTAATTTTTATGCAAAAAAAAACACCTAACAACTTTAACTCTGTAGGCACAACGAGTTTCCATTTCCCACACATTTATAAATAATGGTACAAGGGGTCACTTAGAGATAGAGATTCGGTCAAATAACAACACTTTCATTTTTGGGTGACCATTAAAATTCTGTTTCGACGTTTTTAACAGAATTTTACCGTGATTTTTACGTGATTATTATTTAGCACTGCCACGTCTTGATGACTTGTACTTTCCAAACGAATTTAACGTTAATTTCTGCATATGGGATGATAAGTACCAACTTTTTTAGCACATTCATCATTAACTTATAAAAAAAGTAATTTTCATTCGACTAATCCAAGACGCAAACCCTTTCAAAACATGGCTCTAGGCTTAGTGACTTTTTCCAAAAAACGCTACAGTTATTTTTAATTTCGTAATGATTTCGCTTTTGATTTTTTGTATATTATAATTGGACCATCTTTCCAGAATACTGCATAAACAGATAATATCCGCCAGATCGCTAACAGCCGTCCAAGAAGTGGTGAGATTCTTAAAAAGGCGCAAGTGGCAGATAGTTTTACCTGCATAAAAAGTGAATACACGCATATTACAGATTTACACCGAAGAGACATATTCCATGGCGCCGTCAATGAGAACAGGGTTAGAAAGATCACCGTGGAATTGCGCAGGGGAGGTTCCGGATTGTCCCATCTCTTAAGACAAGGATGGGTACTAGAAAGTGCGGCCGCGCTGCATCGTTTCCTGCGAAATTTGAAAAAACCTCTAGTGCCGCCCCATATTCAAGCATTAGCGCTTGGTAACTTTCATGTATCGGCCTTGTCGCTACAATTTAGTGTTTGCAGACGAAAATCCGGGAGTCTCACCCGAAGTTGTGGCGCAAGACGTCCTGGGCCTGGTAAAACAAGATGTCAAGGGGAGGCAGTATCATCTTGTCTCTTCTGTGTTGGATTTCTTGTATTGCGTACTAAAAGAAACGCCGACGGACGAATTGACAGGATGCAGTGTTCCGATTACGATGATTCCTATATTTTTCAACATTCAGGTAACGATTTGCGCGTGTTACGAATTCCGCTGATTGTTGTGTTTGCGCGGAATACTTTGGTCTAACCTATACGTTTCCTTGAGTCAGCTAGGTGTTGTATTAATTAGCACCTTGAGTGATGCATTTTCTGTATGACCTAGATAGAGAAAAATATTACAATGTGTGTCCGATTAAGTGCGGTTTTCGGAAGTTACCCTAAAATATCAGGGCCAATCGCCTTCTCCCGCCCAAGACCTATATTCTATTCTATTCTATTCTATCAGGGGAGCCTTTACAGGCAGCACTTAGGCTCATCAAAGGCCCATTGTGCTAACCCCCTCTCTAAACAACCAAAGCTTAGAGCCCGTTCCCTTCAATGAAGGATAAGACCCTATTTAGCCTTAGTTTCCTCACCTCCCTCGGTTCCAAGTAACTGTCACCGAGGAGTTTATGTCTGTCCCTGATCAGAGCGTCACAGTAACAGACTACATGCTCGGTAGTTTCCTCTACCTCACCACAAAACCTGCACGCAGGGTCTTCCACAAGCCCAATATTGTGCAGGTGATAGTTGACCATCCAGTGTCCCGTGAAGACACCGACGATCTTCCTAATCTGACTTCTGTTTAGGTTTAGAAGCTTAGAAGACTCAGATTTGCCAAGAGGCCCTGTTAAAAAGGTCTTGGACTGTCTGAGTCCAGCTGCCTGTTGCCATTGAGCCTGGAATTGACTGGTCGCCCAGTTCTTAATCCTGACCCTGACAACTGAGGGAGCAATTCCAAGGGTGGGCTCAGGCCCGACAAGGACCCCACTACTGCCTTCGCGAGCCAACTCGTCCGCCCTTTCGTTGCCCCCTATTCCAGAGTGCCCCGGCACCCATATCAAGCTTACCCTATTAGACTCACCTAATCTATCTAGGGTTCGCCTACAGTCAAGCATCGTATTCGAGCGGACCCTGTCAGCTGACAGAGCCTTTAACGCCGCCTGACTATCACTACATATGTATATATGCTGGTTACGATAACCTCTACGGAGGTTTTCTTGCGCACAGGTCGTGATGGCTAGCACCTCTGCCTGAAACACAGTACTGTGCTGGCCAAGGGAGAGGCTGATGCCTACTCTCGGCCGGTCACCGTGTATACCCATGCCCGTTCCCTTTTCCGTTAGGGACCCATCGGTAAACCACACGAGCCCCTCAGGTTTGAGGAACGGACGATCTGGGTTCAGCCACTGCTCCCTGTTCGGGAGAATGACTTTATACCTCTTCGGTTCAAGTAGGGTAGCTCGAATCACGTCCCTTCTTGCGAGGAAGGGGTCGGACCTAAGAGTTTCCTCCCAGATCCGCCCGTGTCCGAGACTGCCTCTATCCTTCCACTCACCCCAATCATTTAGTCTTATGGAAGCCCTCCGGGCCTCGGCCTCTACCGATAAGTGTAGAGGTTCAAGTCCCAGAAGAGCCTCCACAGCCAACGTTGGCGTGGTTTTCATGGCTCCAGTGATTCCCAAACAAGCGAGTCGCTGTACCTTACTCAGCTGCTTCTTGTATGTTACCCTGCGCGTTGCAGGCCACCATACAAGTGCGCCGTACAATATTATCGGCCTTATCACCGAAGTGTAAAGCCAATATACTAGTCGAGGATTTAATCCCCATGTGCAGCCGAAAGCTCTCCTGCATGCCCATAGACATGCAGTGGCCTTCTTGCTAATTCGCTCAATGTGCCCTTTCCAGGACAGACGGGAGTCTATAGTGACCCCCAAATATTTAACTGACCTGGTCAGACACAATTGGCGTCCTCGAAGGATGAGACCGTCAAGGTCCACATTCCGTCTCCTCGTAAATGGAACAATTTCGGTCTTTTCCGGGTTGACAGAGAGACCGTGGCTACTGCACCATCTATCCACCTGTCCAAGAGCCCTCTGCATGAGCTCTTTTACGGTGCTCGGAAACTTCCCCACAATGACAATTGCGAGGTCGTCTGCGTATCCCTGTGTATACGCTCCATCCTCGTTTAGTGTACGAAGGAGCCCGTCTATCACCAGGCACCACAGTAGTGGAGACAGTACTCCACCCTGCGGACATCCTCTAGTGACCGATGAGCTCATCTCCGTAGTTCCGATCGAGGTTATGATGACCCTGCCTCCAAGCATGGCCCGGATCCATCTTACGATTGACCCGTCAATGCCAAAGCTTTCAGCAGCCTCACTAATGGAATCGAACGTGGTGTTGTTAAACGCACCTTCGATGTCCAAAAAGGCTCCCAGAGCTACCCCTCCAGCAGACATTCCCCTCTCCAGTCTACACACGAGACTGTGAAGAGCCGTCTCCGTGGACATGCCAGCTCTGTAAGCGTGTTGAAACGGGTGTAGTGGTCTAAGGACCAGCGCCCCGTTTCTTATGTATGCATCCACCAGCTTTTCTACCGCTTTTAAAAGAAACGATGATAGACTGATGGGCCTATAATCCTTTGCTGTGTCGTACTTAGTACGACCCGGCTTAGGTAAATACACAACTCTGACCCTTCTCCAGCTTATGGGGATGTACCCCAAAGCCACAGAGGCCCTAAAGAGGTGCAACAAGTGCAGAAGTAATGGTTCCAGGCCCTTTTGCAAAAGAGCCGGAAATATCCCATCAGGTCCTGCGCTCTTAAATGGGCTAAACGTATTGATAGCCCATCTCAGGGATCCCTCGGTAACAACCCCGGCAGCTACTCTCCAGTCGATCGGCCTTGCACCGACCCGGGTAGCACCTTCTGGCGGTTCCGAAGTTACATAGTCTCCAGAGCCTGGAAAGTGTGTTTCCAGGAGACATGTGAGGGCCTCACCCGCGTTAGATGTAAATCTGCCGCATGGAAGCCTCAGCGTCCCCACTTTTTGCCCTGGATCTTTCAAAAGGATCTTACGAAGTTTTTGAACTTCGGGAAGCCCTTCCATGTTGCCACAGAAAGTCCTCCACGATCCCCGTTTAGACCGTCGAATGTGGTCTTTATACCTGCGCTGTGCGAGTTTGTGATCCTCCCAGTCCGCAGGTAACTTAGTACGCATGGCCCTGTTAAAGAGCCTTCGAACCTCTTTACGAACTTTTTCAAGGTCCGAGTTCCACCAAGGTGTTCTCTTCATTCCCCGAACAGTTCGCAGCTTGCAGCTGTCTTCAAACGACGCCGTTATAGCGTCGCTTATCATTGCCGCCGCCTCTTCCACCTGCCCTGCTTTCCGGCAGAGCAAAGGTGGTTTATCCAACCGTTCTGTCAGTTTTTCAACATAGCAGTCCCAGTTGGTGGTTCGGGGATTCCGAAACCTACAGGGCCCACCATTGAATGACAGGTTTAGTTGGAAAAGAATGTGCCTGTGATCCGAAAGAGACGGTTCATCAGACACTCTCCAGTTTGAGATCATGTGAGCTATAGAGAAAGAGCCCAACGTTAGATCAATGACCTCCTGCCTCCGCGACGTAACGAAGGTGGGGGTTTCTCCCTGATTTAAAACATTCAAATCAGTTGTCTGCAAGTACTCCAGAATGTGTTCGCCCCTCGAGTTCGTGTCCGTGCTGCCCCACACAACGTGATGTGCATTTGCATCACAGCCAACCACAAGAGGGAGCCTTTCACTCCGACAGTGCTCTATCAACTCAGCTAGCTCCCTGGGAGGTGGAGCTTCTTCCGAGTCATATGGTAGATACGCTGAGCAGACTACTAATTGCCTGCTCCGTCCCTTTCCATCTTTCAGCTGAAGTCTTAGAGCCACAAGATCCCTAAAACAGAAATCAGCCATTAAATAAGACTCGATGCGTCTGTCGACATATATGCAAGTCCTGGTACTCAGTTGACTGTCCCTCTTATAATAAAGTGAGCCCTCAACCTGACTTAAGCCTCTTACTCGTCCCTTGTAAACCCAAGGTTCTTGTATGAGGCAAACGCCTGTCTGCCTTACAGAAAGTTGGCGGCCTATTAAGCAGGTCGCCCCCTTACTGTGTTGCAAATTGCTCTGTAAGAAGGTTACCTTGTCCATCACCGATGTACTTAGGCTCCCCCCTCCTCTAAAGATGCCGACGGCTCTGACCCCATCTCGGAGCCAAGGACCGCCACACGAGCCAACAGCTCGTCGACATCTTGTTCGACCTGCGAGGGCGCCAATTCTAATTCCAACGCCTCGAGGTCTCCACCTAAGGGTTGGACCCCCTCCATTGCAGCGGAACTGGGTCCCGCTGCTCCGGCGGAGCCCTCTCCCTTTGCTTGCGCAGCCGGAGCACTCGCCTTCGTCACGAAAGTGACGTGGGAGACCCCCGCGTGCGCCTTAAGGTTCTGCCGCTGGAGTGCCCTGTAGGATGCCTCATCCACACCAAATGCGAGAAGCACCCTACCAGGCTCCTCCCTGCGAAAGAACGTCCTCCATAAGTTCGTCCTGAGCCCAGGATTTTGCCTATGGAGGCGCTTTAAAATGATGGCCGTGTCATCCGGGAGCCCGTGCAACACTGCCATCACCTTTACCACCTTTGGGACGTGCCTCTGTACTTTCAGAGACGCACCTTCCCAAGGCTTGATTAGAGAGACGGTCCTCTCCAGCCAGTCCAGAGTCCACTGGTCCTCGCACTCAGCCACAACGACCCCATGCGAGTTCCAGCGGAACCCGGCCAGCCTCGGAAAAGGCCCGACCTCCAAGTCGTCTACAGCCACATTTAGTGCAGCCATAATGCACCTCGACTGAGCCTCAGTGAGGTCCACCTCCGGGTACGACACCGGTAGGATAGCCACCTTGAGGCCCGCCGCAGCGACTTGCCCATAGGTCCGCGGTGCACCCGTGGGTGCCCCAGGACCTTTGGACTTCTTTTGAGGTTGCACCGAGCCAGACCCTGGAGTGCTACCCTCCGATCTGAGACGCTTGGTCCCAGACGTCGGTTCGCCTTCCTGAGCCACCGACCCAGTCGCAACCTTCGATTTTAGCACCTGACCCGGGGTTTTACCCTCGAGCCGCCGCTTCCTGGCCAACGCCTTTTGCGCCCCCGTCCTGTTCTTCTTACGGGACGGAGCTGGTCCAGGTCCTTGGGTGGAGCCCTGCTTTGGGGCTGTCCCCTCTTTCGAGGAGCCTGCCCCTACACAGGACCCCTGTTGTGGCCCTGGTTCATTGGTCCCCCCTGACGAGGAGCCCTGTAAAGGAAAATTATGTTTTTGTTTTGTATCCATATTGTTCCCACGAGTAATGCGGAAGAGCGGTATCACCTGCGCAGAGCCGCTTGCGCAGGGCTTGGCTACAATACCACTCGGAGGTCGCCCGGTATCCGAGGGGCACCGTTATCGACACTGCACCCCAGTGTCACGCAGTCCTCAGCACGGTAGCTAACACCTTGACTTGGGAGGTTGGTCCGCGGTAGCGACCTTCGTTGCTGCCAGTCTGGGTTTCAGCCCCGACGAGCAACTTATAATCGCTACTACCCACACAGAGACACTTGTCACCTTACGATCATTCAGGGCTTGCGTGGGCGTTCCCCTATCCGCCACCTGGGGACGCGCCCGATGGGTGCCTAACCGCAGCTATATTTATACTTTTTTTGAAGATATCGCACCGAAAAGGGCTGTACCTGACACCCGTAACTTTCATTTCAGTATTAAGGGGTTCATTTTTCAATAATCTTCTTCTCCTTTTGTTTGCATAATCAGTAATCACGATTTAAATAATAGAATCTTTGATTCCCATAAAAGTGTTCAAAACCATCTACAACTGAAGAGATTTCCGGCGAAATTGTCATTTCTAATAAGTAACAGCTGGCAGCTGTAGTTATTAGCAAACAGAGAACAAAAATGAATCTCCAAATTTCGCCCTTGCCTGAGATTTTCCATAAAAAAACCTAACAATGGTACGTACTAATGATTCTAAATAGTGCATATTTTCTAGACAAACGACCTACGCCACTGGAGAAGAATTGCAACAGTCTTTGTGGAAATTATTCGCATGGCACCCACTGAACTGAACCTATTAACGGAAGAAACCTCAAGTGTGGAGGGTCTCTTCGTAATACCAAATGTTCGTACGTTTCTTGCGTTCTTAAGAGCCTTACATTGTCGTTCTATCATAGGAGATGAACTTCACACTACGTAGAATAGCGGTAATACTACGCCTGAGGAACGTGGGTTCGCGTTTTAATCACAGCTATGTTAGACAACAAGGTATTTCTAATTACTGCAGTTTTACAGTTAAGTTAAAATGAATATGTTTTAGTGTACCATAGGGAGTTGGGACATTACAATATTTAAAGAGGGTTTTAGCTCAACACAATATTGGATAAACATCTCTTGTAACATTTTTGTAGTTGTGGGAATGTATCAATGTAATACACGTACCTTATGACAAACATTTTTATGGTGGATGCTGTAGATGTTACCATTTCCTAAATAACATGCTAAATTAACACGGGATATGAAACTAAGAAGCAGGATCCCCCAAACCTTTTTTATGTGTGCGCTGTTGTCCCGTCCTACTTTATTTTGAATTGGCGCCACCAACAATCCTTGAAAAATGGCAAAGCAATGGAAGCTTTATTCTGCTGGAATTGCACCCATTCCAGAGACGGACGGCACAATTTGCAATTCATTTTAAGCATTGTCGTATATTTCACTAAAACTCAAAGTTAAACGGTGACGTTTCATGGTAATGATACTGTAAACGCCAATTTACTATGTTTCGTGATGCTGTAAGATTTTTTTCCATTCTTTTCCTTCTCCTGACCTTGAGTAATCCAGTATTCTAGCAATATCCATTGTAACTAAACTCAAACGATCTTTGATAAAAATTTCTCAATTTAAAATAAATCCCAATTACGATTGGACAACCGGGATACTACGGAAATTCCCCGAAGGGCCCTTTTCTCCGGGATCTACCACAAATGGTCTTTTCATACATTTAATTACAGCCATATACATACAGTAATCCAATCAAGAGAAAGAATGCATTCAAACAGAAGAACAGGATGATTTTCACTTATGTCGGAAATTTCTTAAAAAATTTAGACAGTGTGTCATATACAGTGCGTTCGAGATAAGAGGGTCACCTCAATATCTCTTACGAAAAATTTGTCAAATATAATGTAATATGTGACATTATGATCTATCCGATTGTATGTTCAAACTTCCTATATCACTTTCGATTTAACCGGAAATAGATGCATCTTTTGTTTTTCAAATGCAATGCCTATGTTTTTTACGATATTTTAACAGGGCAATCAATTTTTTGTACAACAACATGAAATATGCATATGGAAACATTGAACAACTTATTCTAGTTATTTTCTGTGTGATATTATATGGCACACGGAATGCTAGATTTCAGAAATTTTCTAAATATTTAATCACAAACAAACTTCTCCATTTTACCACCCGCATTGGGGTCAAAAATGACCCCCTCCCCCATTTTTTTTTTACGGAAATACATGTTTTGAAGCACCAAAAATCCGAATGAAACAAAACCTCGATGATGTCGGTCTGTCGGTCTTAAAAAGCATAGGCATTGCATTAAAAAAACAAAAATTGCATCGATTTCCAGTAAACCGGAAGTGATGCCGGAAATTTTAATATGCGATCGGATATACGGTAATGTCACATATGAAACTATATTTGACAAATTTTTCGTATCTCGTCAAATAAATAGATATTTGTGTACCAAGGCCGTAAAAGTGATCTTTTTTGGCCGAAGCTGCTGTTTGTGGCCGAGGCGGTAGCCGAGGCCGCAATTCAGATGAGGCCTAACAAATCACTTTTGGCCAAGGTGCACACAACATTTTTTAGGCGATCATCAAAAAAGAATTCAAAAATTTGCTCATAAACATATTTTTTCTGAAAATCATAGTTATCTTAGACAATTAAAAACAAAGCATTTCCTGTCATATGTAATTATAATTAGCACCTTTGCGTGTGTTTTGTGCGTATCAAAATGGGCGATAGCGACAGTTCAGATACCCCAAATGAAGTTTTGGAAGCTGCAAGCGTTACGACCCTAAGTCATATATGATATAAGAGCAGGAGTTTGAGAGTAAAAGTACAATCCCAACTTCCTCCGTTGCACAAGATTTTAATAATGTCAAATGCAATAGGTCCTTCGTAACTGTGGCTTCCAAGAGCTTATAGTTAACATGCTGTACAATTATTAGAAACCTGATTACCTACTTTGATGGTAGGTATAGGTAGCTACTTGTGTTCTCGGTTAATTCCTGGTGATTCTTCGTATAATAATGTAAGCAATAACATCTTCCTCATGTTTTGGTTCTACACTTCTACACTTTCTATTGTTGTCTTCTAGCACTTTTTTACATAAGTACTTATATACGCCTGTATATCCTTTCGTTTGCTCGTTCCAACGATTTTTATACATAATCGCGATCAAGCAGAAAAATCTCGCATTGTTCAACTATTGCTGCATGGGAAGCTCTTGAGGACTCTGCGGCATTAAAAGGCTGAAAAACGCAAAAATAACGGATACCCCAAAGAAAATTTGTTAAGGATCCTAAAGGCCCATAAGAACCCTTAAAAGCTCCTAAAACATTATTGAAATCATTAAAGATCCGTAAGAGGTTTTAAGGAGTAGTAAGACATGTTAAGATGCAGCAAATGGCTTTGGAAGACCTTAAGTGCTCCCAAAAACTAAAGTTATAAGGCTTTGAGGTGTTTTCGACACTCTTAACGACTCCTAAAAGCTCTTAGATTCCGAACTCAAAGCTACAAAGAGTAAACCGCTTGCAGATTTTTTAGAATATTCGTAAACTTCTAGAGATTTAAAGAGTAATAAATACCTCTAACACTGGAAGGTTCTCAAATGTATTTTAAAGACTCAGGGATCATTAAAAACCTTTTAAAGCTCTTAAACGCCTTTAAAATCTCGGCTGCGGCTCTTAACTGCGAGACTATTGGAAGCTTTGGAAATACACAAACACGTTTTCAGTACTCATAAAAATTCCAATATGATATGGAATACTCCAAAGATTTCAATAAACTATAAGGGTGTTCAATATACAATATTAAATATTTGTATATTGAACACCCTTATAGTTTATTGAAATCTCTTAGGGATCCTTATGGATTCTCAAAAACACTTAATGGTCTGTTGTAGGCTCTCAATGCTACTAAACAGTTAAATTTTAAAAGCCTTTACAAGTTTCTAAGGGTTTCTAAGTGCATTAAAATGCCTTTTACAACATTTAAGAACAACTAAGAGTCGTCAACAGCCTAAAGCCTGTAAAATCTTCTTTTAGAGTCTCTATGAGTCTATAGAGAATTTCGGAGGACCTTTTAAAAGCCTCGAATACTTCCTGTATTTTAGAACCGCTTAATATACGCATTAATAGTTATTTATGCATCAAGGGCATTAAGGCGATATATATGCCGAGGGCGACAGAGCCCAAGGGCCTCCGGTCCGAGAGATTGTAAGTTGCCCGAGGGTTAAATATCGAGTAATGCCTGAGGTGCATACAAAATTTTATTTTTCATCGTGTTAGAAACACTTGGGTGCTGGTGCTCTTAAAAGTTCTGGAGTACATTTTCACAATACTCTAGAAAAGCACTTTTAAAGGCTAATAAACGCACATAATATTTTGAAAAATCCTCCTAAATGTTTTTATTTTATTTTTGACCGGGGAACACGTTACGGGATGATAGAATTCTTAAAAGTTCTCACTAGTTCTCAAAGATTTCAAAATATTCTTAAACACCCTTAAACTAGACTGTCTATTAAGGATGGACAACCGACAAAACCTTTTAAGAGTCCTTAAAAACACGATTGCTAGACATTTTCTTTGATTAGATGGCAAAGAATAAATTGAAACAAGGTAAGTATTTAAGTAATTTGAAAATGGATTTACAATCGCAATAAACGCGGAAATTGCAATTTTTACCACCCTCACATTAGGAAGGGGGGATTGTACGGGAAAAAAATGACTCCCCACATTTTTTACGGAAATACACGTTTTGAAGCACCAGAAATTCGAATCAAAGAAAACCTCGTAGATGTCGATCGGCCTCTCTGTCTGTACTGTGTACCTACTCTCATTTCGGCTAAACTGCTGAACCGATTGGAACCAAATTTGGTACGCATACTCTTAGGCATAAAATAAAGGGCTGAACTGCTTTTGGTTAGAACGCGCATGCGCAGATGTGTGGGTGGTATCTGTGCCAGCCGCACAGCCAATTTTTTGAATTAAACACTCTGCCAGATTATTTGGTTTTATTTGAAATTCCATATTATACTTACTTGTTTTCCGCTATTGCAGACACTCTTCCTGTCCGTCTGCCTATCAGTGCTGTGCTGTGCTGTAACTAGTACACAGGATTTTAAAATATTTACTTCTTGTTTGAATCTTAATTTCACCCTAACCATCTGGACCATGATTAAAAAATAAGAAAATCGTTATTTACAGATCGATTTTGATGAAACGTTCCAGCGAATTTTACTTTTTACCGATGACCATGTTTCACAAAGAAAAGTTGTTTATGCAGCAAATTCGGTGGAATTTTTGTTTCAATTTTCCTTTTCCTGTTTTGGTAGAAACTCTAAAATGCGTCTATCAATGAGACATGCGATGTTGTTAATCATTTGGTTAAAATTTGTGTTGCCTTTTGCCATGTTAAATTATATCCCTGTTTAGCATTTAAATTATTCGGTACTCAATGCTTTGTACACTCACCAAAAGAGAAGAGGAGGAAGTTTGACAAGAATAAGCTCGTCGAAGTTATCTGGTTGGGTACTCTGGGGACAAGGACGGTTATCGCGTATGGATTCTAGAGGGATGTCAAGGGATGCGATCTCCAAAATGGAAAAGCAGTCGACTGCCATCTTTGGTACCAATAAAAGCGAGTATGAGTGTGACGTCACTAACTCAGAAGAAGGAGATCTCAATCCTACATCAGCACCAGACCCGTTAGTACCTACCAGCAGTAGAATCTGTGGAATCAATTCAAGCTTGCATCAACAAGGACAACCTCTGAACACTTAAGAATGAAGACTCATTCGAGGAAAATGGAGGAAAACAACAGTGGAAACTCCGATACAGATCGAAGATTTGGAGGAAGTTGAAGGACTATGCAGTAAGTGGAAGCTCAGAATGCTACACCATGACAGCTTATGAAGCTAAACCGTCTACGAACACGGAAGCCATTGAAAGCTCTCAACCCAAAAATTGGAAAGTGGCAATGATTGAGGAGATAAATGCGCTCAATGAAAATCACACTTGAGACCTAGTTCCTAGGTCAACTGATAAGAAGGTGATTGACTATCGGTGGGTGTACAAGGTCAAGTACAATGCTGATGATTTAGTGGAGCGTTACAAGGCACGTCTTGTAGCCAAGGGCTATCTGAAACGTGAAGGGATTGATTTCACTGAAACCTTCAGCCCTACCGTGAGATGAGTACGTTCTCTGATGAGTGTGTGTGTGTGTGCGCGCGCGCGCACGCGAGGGACTCAAAATGATTCAATTTGGCGTCAAAAGTGCTTTCCTTTATAGAAAATCAACCATGGAAGGTTACGATGATGGAACTGATAGGGTGTGTCAATTGGGAAAGAGCATTTATGAACAACGCCAAGCTCCTAGATGCTGGAATACGACGATCAACAATTTTTTTGTGTAAATGTGATCTTTACTCAAAGTGAAAATGATCTTTTTGAACTTCCGGACAACGTTGATAATGACGCTTCACGTGGGTGGATGATGGTTAGGTCGTTTAATTATTGCTGTGTTCAACGAAACGTTCCAGGTAGGTACAAATCAGTGATGCCAAATTTTATCTGGGACGGAAAATTCAAAAGTTGAATAATGATCCATTTATATTTCCCAGGAAGCCTACACTCGTAAAATTCTTGAACTGGTTCTTCAGATGAACAAGAAGCTGATCTGCTCACCAAAGACAGCGTTTCGAGAGCTTTCGAAGCATCATCGGAGTAAAGACTTGTTTTTAGGTTTTAGGGGAAGTATTGATGAAAAATCAATAAAATTAATTACAGATATTGAAAACTGTCATGTTGCCTTTTGCCATGTTAAATTACATTCCTTTTTAGGGGAATTTTTCAAGAGAAAATCAATTCCCCTTATGTGATGGTTTGATCCGGCTGTTCGTCTGTTCCTCGTTTAACTCGAGAACGAAAAAAGTCAGCGATATCAAATTTTCCCCAAACGATTTCTGAGTTCAAGAATCGGTGCTATTGATTATGAACCGGATTAAACGTCCGGTTTCTCAATACGATGAGCCGAGTGGCAAAAAATTCCCCTACTGAAAATCGTATGCGTTTCTTCGTATCTACCTCGTTATCATTAATTACAATTAAAATTCAACTAAATTGTGGCGCGACTCATTAGAATCTGTTGTTGGGGAGAAAATTGAAATATTTAATTTAAATGTATGATCGCCATCAACAAAAAAGACCTAAGGGAAGTAATATTCTTTCAAAGTTGCCGATTACTTTCTACCTTCAGCTAAATTCAAACTCGATTGTGCCAAATTAGCTTACCTACTGTCAGTCTGATAAGGGCGAGGAGAAAATATGCCTTTGCCGTATAATTCCAAAAGGATTTGAATCTGCGGAACAACTATGTACCTACAAAATAACGGGATTAACAGTTCAGTTGTAAATTCCAGGGTTCAACTTTGAAGGTTCGCAAAACTTTCGATGCTCCTACGAGACTGCAGAAAAACAAAGTAATTTATAAACATTTTATTTAAGTACATGTACAATTTTATGGCTGAGACCATTAGACACGAAATTATAACCTGCCGCACAAATAAAATCCATGAAAATAATAACTTATCCACGCAACGCCATTTAGAGTTTCGACGCCAAAATTTCAGGTACACAAGTATCACCTCTAAAAAGTTCGTTTCTTAGGTTTTCATAAAGCTGAAAAAAGTGCGATCAATTTTAGTCAGTCCCTAACACTAACTTAAGGCGCCTTACCTTTCCATCAGACTTTGCCAACACGGAATTTAAGACACTATCTGGAAATGACAACGCATCAGCTACAGCAACAGCATCGCACTTCAAAATGGAACATATATCTAATATTGCATCTTTAACTAACTTAGAGAGGGAAGGTTGAGTAAAGCCTCCCTCATACAAATAAATTAAATGCTTATCTAAACATGATAATCCATACAGCAGACCTATTGTTATTGAAACCCTTCGAACACTGATATCTACACAGTCATTGTGAATAATCGACCAATACCGAGACAGGACAACGTATTCAATGTACACCATGGAGAGAACGTTGGCCTTGTATACTTGAATATTATTAAATGCGGTAAATAGGCATCCTGAAGACTCGAATCCTGTTAGAAGTTTCTCGCTGGTTTCTTGAAGTAGGTAAGTGATTAACCATTCGAATGATTCTTGCAAAACTAGAAGTGGATTGCTGCGTTATTATAATGGAGAAGTGATTGCTTACATGTAAAAGATTTAACATCGTCACTAGTGCTGGCTGTACATTTTTTATTTCGAATTGCGGAGTGGTTGTTTAAAAAATTGCACGTGCCTAAGGGAGTACTTATGGGAACGCCTTGTTTTAAGCCATCCCACAGCTTCAAGAGCCACCTGCTAGTTTGTTGTAGCAAGATATTGTTATCACCCTCGTACGTAACCCTTGCGTCATTGGAATTTCGCAGAACACCAAAACGCGACGCGTTTAAAAAAGCATGACCGCCGCATGCCTCGCGACACTGTTGGATGGCATCCTGACAGGACCAAGTTGTCAGAGGCTTTGCTGCGGATAAGATCACGTGCATTTCTGTTTTATAAGCGGACTAAAATGGCACTGTGTAAATGTGTGAGAACGAGAATTATTGAGGTACCGTGCTAAATACTGAGTCCTTTTCGGTTGTTTGTTGTATAAGCATGTTGATGTAGTCATCTGCAATTGAGGTCGCGAAAACTTTCAACACGGCTGCAGCTGCCAAATGCGGAAACAGCCTCCATTGCTGAAAACGCATAATTTCTCATCAATCACCTGGTAATTACCACATCACATCTATACCTAGAGTATAGATCCAGCACACGACTTTGGTCCTTTGCATCAGTGCACAATTTGTATGTACTGAGCGTAAAGGAAAATAAGGCAGTCTACACTTACAAGGTACCTAGTAACGTACATGTAATTGATGTTCTATAATTGCCAGTTCTTCGTCTTTGTTCGCTCCAAACTGCTTCCTTACCGCAGCGTACCTAACGGCGATCACTACCGCACAAATTAAGTACTCCGAACTTTCTTGCACCACCGATACACGCCCCGTTGACAAATTACCAATCGTAGATCCAAAAACCTTTCCCGGGCTCGACAACTGTGTGATATACCGCCCATCTGCAGTAACATTTGCAAATTTGTTCAATAGATTGGATCTGGGAATCTTGTACTTGTGGAAGAGTATGATTCTATAATAAGAAGTGAGGTCAGTGTTTTTTAACGCATTTAACGCATACGCATTGTCAACTCCGTTTAAACCCAGTTTTAAGCCCATATCTTTGATTGTTATCCCAGAGTAGACTTCGTAAGTGCCTGGATGCCTTATTGGAACTAAAAATGCGTGCAACCCGTAACACGATCCTTTGACGTATAACTGCGCAAACACTATGCCGATTGTACAACTCATTCCTTAAAAGTTAGTTACCGCAATTGTAATTTTCAGCTTTCAGCTTACCCAAATTTCCCGACCAACACTTAGCGGCTTGAAAGTTTGGAGTATCCAGAATGAATTCTTGACTTTCTTCGTTGTAGGTCGCGGTGGTTTGCATGTTCCTAGTATCGCTACCATGCGCAACTTCGGTCAGCATAAAAGCGGCATGTCTCTACAAATGTAAGAATAGAGAAATAATTCGTATCATGTATTTTTGATCATCTACCATGCTCTCCCAGGCCAGTTGGCCGATCTTTTTCTGTCTATCGTTGCCTAAAAGGATGATAGACATGTGCGCTAAAACAACGTCGACGATCAGTTTCACTGCCGCATCGGGAGAGACTACCACCAAGGCCTGGCCAATGGTCATAAAAACCCTTAACTGCAATTCATCCCATCAGATATTCCACGTGCGAAATTTCGCCACTTACCCATTGCTTTAGTGGAGTGGAATGAATATCGGCTGGTAATACATTGTAGCTCCTAACCGCAAGCAGTTGGCGAATGACAATTTGTTTTTGCTCTTCTATTGATGGTTCCCCATTATTTTGTTTGAAGGCAGACTCTTTCTCGAAAAGACTCCACAAGAAATTCTACAAAGAAGGATATCATTTGGAATAAACAGCAGCCTAGGTACGAACCTTCGTTTTAATACGTTGTGGATCTTCAAAAACCAATTTCAGTTTCTTCCAGTTAAACGTGGCCTGTTTTCTGTAGAAATCTAGATCTCCAGGTGGAAAATCCTGGATGAACGAATCTTGACTCAAATCCATAGTAACTTCTCACGTACGGGCATCGATAGCAACTGAAAGTACGATAAAGCAATCACTTCGTTATCGGGCGGAACCGTTTCGTATATAGTTTACTGTGGAGTATTGGTAAATCGTATATGAATAATCGGGACGCTCTATCTTTAAGACGGAATCGAGAATTGGTAAGTCGCATACGCGCTCAATACTGATAAAAATGAATATACAGGTGACCATGTATTCTTCTTATTATAAAACATGTTTAAAAACTACTATAGACCGTTCCAAAAATGTTAGTGCAACAGTCTGGAATGCATTATCTACCTACTTCAACAACATCTCAGGAATTCTAGGGGGTTATAAGTCCAAAGATGATGTAATTATACCTAACTATCTTATCGCAATTGCTACTTACATACTCCAAGAGATAGTCATAATGTCACTTTCGGATGGGCAACATTTTTTTAAATACTTATTCCAGATAAGATTTTAATGATTATTTATTTGAGATAAGAATACGTGTATAAAGTTTCATATCAGAAAACAACTAACACTTTTTGATAAATAGATGGAAGATGAAACATCTTCAAACAATAAAATACAACCCTTGCATAAATGCATCGCTTTTATCATGGTCGATTTATTTTTAGTGCAACCTATGGTTATCCAAGAACTGCCAAAATTGTTATTTATGCACCAATTTTCTTGAGAGAAAGGCAAAACTCGATTGATCTTTGACGCAGACTTGAAATTTATTTTTGTGTAAAAGATTAATTGCGCTGGTATGAACTCAAAACGTTTCGTTTAGCGTCCCCACGTAACTACACAAACGCTGATAACTTCTAAACCTCACACAAAGTTTGAGGACAAATAACATTAACTTGATGAATAAAATGATGAATTGCCGGTGGCTGTTCAGATGGTTCAAACGTTTACTTTTAATAACAAGAGAGCCTTAATAAAAGACCTAACCGCTTGCTTTTTCAACTTGACGGAATTTTTCCACAAAACCGATAAAGGTTCTACAAGGTAAAAGTAATTGAAGGTTTATTTATTACTGAGCTAGCCGTAGTATTAATTATTTCATTGCAAAATATTAATTGTTACAGTCACATTTTCCAGTGCCGTAGAAATTAGATTTTATTTTAGAAGCGCAAGGGTTGTATGTTAATAATAATATAAATAATTTTGAATTCGTTATTTTTAAGCACGCTCTAGTATACCATGGTATAAAAGATAAACCAATGGTGGGACTACCTAGATTTTTCGGTGTGCCTTTTCTGCTTTTGTCAAATCCAAACTGTGGATAGGAACAGACATTCTACTTCCGACGAAATTTTTATCTGGGCATTTTTGAACGTGAGAATAACGAATCCAAAATTAGGTTTTTGAAAATTCCAACTGTAATTCCTGGTTAGGCCCCAAAAGAATGTATTTAAGAATAAGTATAACATTTTTGCGAAAGTATTACCAAAACCAGTTCTTTAGTTTCTCTAGCGAAATAACTAGAAGATTGGGTATTTTTCGTTTTCGTTTACCAAGTGCGCAACCGTTTTTCATGCTGCGCTCTTATTAATTAGTTGTTGTTGTTGCTTCTTAGTCATGAAATAGCATTTGATAGTATTTTCAGCCAAATGTTTGGCTACAGTTATTCTTCTGAAAGTAGCTGTTCAACTTAAAATCGTAACAAAGAGCTTTTTTAATAGGAACCTTTTGCATGTGCACTTGCGTAAAATTTCCACACGGCACGAAGACGGATGGACAAATCACACAATAATTCTAACAATAATTCCTTTTCGTCTTCTCCCATAACAATTTGTCAATATATCATAATATCACATCTATTTTTCGCGCATTTTTTAAGAATTAAAAAAATGTGCTATTTTTTGCGTTTTGTCCGTCCGTCCGGATCCACTTCTGCCGTTTCGAACTACCTCTAGCTAGGGGAATGGGCCTAGAGTCCTGGAATTTTTTGCAGTAGGTAGCCTATACCTTGAAGGTGTGCCAGACGGCCATCAAATTTCACTGTCTAAAAGCCCCCCCCTCCCCTCCCACGAATTATTTCTTGAGATGCTGTTTTTGAAAGTAAAACGTGCATAACTTTTACATACGACAACCAATCATCATCGTCATAAATTACCTAAGGAATTTTGATAATCTTATTATCTATGAAATCGTATCCTTAATAACTATTTGACATATTTGGCGTGAACAGGCAAAAAGTTCGTTGCGTAACGGGCTAAAAGTACTGGATTAAAGCATTTTGTAGCTTCGAAAAGGTAAGCATTCTCGAGCGATTTCAGAACAAAATGTATTATTTTCGAAGAGAGGAAAAACTTGTTTATGGATCCTCAAACCCTTTATAGTTTGGTATTGTGGTCCATCCGTCCGTCCGTGTGCGCTATAATTCTTTTTTAAAGTGGCCGATTGTCTTGAAATTTGGTGTACGGATACTTTGGACAGTAAGGACGGGCGCTAAGGATTTTCGGGAATTCTACGGATCGAATGTTTTGAGATCGAGAGCGATGCACTAGGAAACCGATTTTGGTATAGGTCTTCAAAGATCTTTAAATTTATTTCGGGTAATGAGTTCCGTTTCCTTCGTTGAAAAATTTGATTCGATGATTTCGATGTGCAATTATCAAGTTCAGCTAAAAGTACCTACGCAAGGCTGCAGCCTTAATATGTAGACAAAATTACGAGTTTTTTCTTTTCAGTAAAATTTATATTACGACCAGCGTCAATTTAAACTTTAAAGAATGGTCCAGTCTTGAGAGGTTCGCCAAGGCCAAATTTAAAACAAAATTACTTACTCTGTAGTATTCCAAGAAGTATCGAAAATCAACGCGTTTTTCTTACTTATTGTAGGTAAAAAAAGCGTAAATACACGTTAAAATTACAACTATATCAAATTGTTCACACACAAATTTAAACAAAACATAAAACAACTTTTGTGTCTCTTTGAGGAAGAGATGATAAAAACTAATGATGGGAAGCGTTTTTATTTTGACCTATGATGTCACTAATTTATTCGCATCTGTAATTATTTACAGAACTAATTATACCAAATTACACAGTTTTTGTGATATGGTTCAATTAGTCGCCTTTGATTAAGCAAACCTGTTTAAAAAACCAAAGAAACCCACGTTGAAAAATGTTAATTTGGGCATACCTTTTGATAATCCGTAAAAAATGCTGAAATGTGCTCACACCACCGCTTAATTTAAACATTCACCAGTAGCTAAAGAATAAATATACTGAACAGAGCAAAATGACCAATTTTCTGTGCATGGTACAATTGGTTGTACTTATACAATAATTCCGACCAATAATGTATCACTTAAAAAGTCCACAAAACACTCACGGCTACGAGTTGGTCAGTTATATAATTGTGATTACCTTGAATCTTTTAAATCCATAAAATCCAGGCGATACCGCGGTTGGGGAATTCAATGGCGATCCCACAATTGTAGATAACAAGGCGTGAAATACCGAAGCAAGTGCAAGGCTTACCCAAATATAAATATCCAAGACGAAATTACCTCTTAGGGTATAAGCGGTCTAGACAGTGTTACATATTTACCTTGTGGTTACCTAATATGTACCTAAAATGAAACTTTCCTGATGTGTATTTTGATGTGGCAATAAAAAATTTAAAAAGTCTAACAGTAGGACTGTGGATATTTATGAGAGATCAAAGAACTGATAACTTCTTATTTCAAGGTGATGATCATAATAGGTAAATCACCCATCATTAGCTAAATCAAAGTTTAACTAGCCATGTCCGTCGCGGATTCTCGCGCAAAAATAATTACCTACTAAACACAGAAAGCGCAGGTACTGATCCATATAGTATTGAATATGCCAGTGCATTTCTTTCAAGCATGACATAATTACTATTAGCACAGATTAAATAACAGTGCTAATAGGCTGGGGAGTGTCACTGGAGGTAATTCTAAACAGAAACTCTCTTGAGATCGTATGTAATCAGCATTGAATAATATATTATTCAATGGTATCAGAGAGAACGCTGGTATAAAGGAGGGTTATGCTCTTCTACTTGCAGCGTCAATTCGCGTCGATGTGACTCGATATTGCACTGATCTCATGCAAGAGAAGAAGAAAAAGTAAAAAGTAACAAAAAAAAATAGATTTTTGGAAGGACAAATAAGTTGGTACAGAAGTAATATGTTATGACGTTTTTTTAGGATACTTGATATAACCGTAGGTGTTTCCAATACATAACAAACAATAACAACGTGAAATGTGTCAAATTCATTTATTTTGTAGGTATTTGTTATGATTTTTTAAATTCATTCCACCATTAATTCATAATCAATCAATATTTGATTTTACTACTATTTGGTAAAGAGAATTTGATAGGATGCAGGTAGTTGGCGGTACGGACGAAAACGCTAAAACAAAGGTCAACCTCCATAGGTCGTACCATTGCAGTTTTTTATGCAAATTACAAATAGCAAGCGTTGTGAAATGAAAACCCTCTAGAAAATTTACAAATTTCCGTCTAAAGTTCCACATTCAACATCGAGAACAATTCCTTAAGACTCCTCTATAGTCAATCCGCTATATTGTAGTTGTTGTTGTACATATTATATATGTAACATATCCTGGCAGTTTTTAAGTTTGCATTGTTCCCGTTTTTCTATTATTCTATTAAAGGAGAAAAACGCTAGTTACGCCACTGGAAATGATTTACCGCGAATCTTAACAATTAATATATCGGGAAAGCACAAGTGGGGTCGTTTATTATTTATTCCAATGAGTGGAGAGTTAGCAATTTGCACCAAGTCGGATACCATCACGAAACAGTCAACCACCAACAGAATTTCGTGGATCCTGTCACAGAGGCTCATACAAGAGATAGAACTGATGTAGCTGCAAGAAAATCAAGAGCGTTATAATACATTTTCAGAATCATTTGAAGCATTTTTAGCTTTTCTAGACGGTATCAGTACTGTACATAGATATAGGAATTAAAAAAAAATAATCCTATAAATTATACCTGAATCACAATCTCCATTTCAAACACTCAAATGCGTGCGAAATGGGGCCTTTAAAAATTAAAACAGCAGTGCTTTAAAGGTTGCGAAGTAATAGTTTCAAATATGGCTTATGAAACTATCATCTGGGACTTAAATAAAAAATCCTCTCAGGTGGACTTCTACAAATGCAAAAGATTTCTTTGACTTGTACCTATTCCTATTCCTTGTTTGAAGCTTTCACAAACGCGTGTAATTTAGGGTATCTGTTCCATTTCTTAATCGCAGCATTGTTTGAAGTTTTGAATGATGGAAGATTTAAATACCTTAGACATTTCCTTCATATATAACAGCGTTATGATGCATTTAAGACTTTGTTCGTAAGATACCTCCTATTCATTTACAAAAACAATTTTCATATTTTTATAGTAGGCTTTACAGGATTCGAATTTTGCACTACCGACTTTTCTTCTTATTTTGCAACAAGCCACTGAATGGACGGTGTATTATCTTTTTCAACTGAACTCATTTTATTTACAAAGACGGTGACTTTTATAAGAAAACGTTAAGTGACCAAAGGTATATATGCCAATATGGATTCATCTTATTTATGGATCAGTTTTGTAATTTCGTGTAATATGGCGAGTTAGCGAAATATATCAGACATAACTCATTTCGCTGTAATAAAACACGTGTGACATTTTCTAGTATTCCAAGTACCTATGTCAGTTTCAAAATATCTCGAGATTGTTCAAAAATACTCACAAATGAAGCAAAATATTGTGATATTGTCAAGGATGTATCCTTATTAGCCAAAGTCACACAAAAAATGCTTTTATTAGTCAGTAAAAGATATATTATACTAAAAGTTTATTTAGTAAATATATGTAATACACATATCAAATAACATTTCTTTGGATTTGACAATATAATCAATTCAATTAGAATATCACACTTGCGCTTTAAGAACTTGTGCTTGGCAGTTATGGAAATTGATTGTACAATGCAGGTATTACGTACCTATATGTAAGTAATTAAACAAAAACTGTGCACAAAGAAGATAAAATATACAAATATAACTTAAGGATTGTCTTCACAATTACGTACATTAAAGGCATGTAATCACAGCAGCAAAAATTAACTATGTTGTTATTCTAATCTTATCATAACTTCGACATTAGCTTCAGGTTTGGATTATCATCAAGTTTGATTTCTCTCCACCAGGTAGGCCTCGACATAGCATTGGGATTATTAAAAAACTCTGCTTGAATATTATCATACAACTGAAATAATAAGGTATCAAGTGATAGATATAATATGTCCAACTTAAGTACCTTTCCATCGGCCTTTCCAAGAACTGAGTTTATTACAAAGTCAGGTGGGGCAAGTGCATCCGTTACCGATACCGCACACTTTTTCATTTCATTGCATAACTCCAAAATCGCATCTTGGATGTAGTTCACTAATGAACCGTTACCATAATTTCCCTGCAGTAGATAAACCAAATGTTTATCTAAACACGATAAACCATACAGTAAGCCTAAGGTACCTAAAATCGACCGCAAATCTGCCTCCACATGCTCATTTATGTGATTCCAATAATATTTTAACGCGACATACTCTCCATATGCTTTAGATAGAGGGGCAGCTTTATACACTTGAGAATTGTTGCGTGCGGTAAATTTACACTGTGTTGTTAGCAATTCGCTTTGTTTTTGGTGAGTGTTTTTAAGTAGGTACGTTATTAACCATTCGTATGTTTGTGTTACGACTGAAAAAAAAATATTATGCACATTTCCAAATATCCTACAAGAGGGATAATTCATTTTTTGAGGTTTTACAAGTAGTATAACAACTTGGACTAAGTTTACAAACTTATACATAGTTACATGAAGGAAACGTTGTGCAACAGTACTTATCATGCTGTAAACAAAACCATATAATTCCGATTAGTTCCAAAGATATGCCAGAAAAACCGAAATTTTAATTAATTCTTTTATATGGTCAGTAAAGAAAGTACATACTGTATTGAGTAGCATTTGTTATTATTACGAATACAATGTATGGCACACAGTTTTAACAGGACGGTGCACCCTCCCACAATCCCCAATCCATGCAAGAAAAGCTATCGGGGACATTTCCTGGAAAATGGAAAATTTATCAAACAGTTATCTCGCACGATTAGGGCACCTCTGTTACCTAGGCAACATACAGTTACAGACTTCTATTTGATACCAATTCCATTACAATCTGGCAAACGTTAATTTTTTTGTTAAGTCAAAGTCTATATTTGTGCAGAAATGGTAAATAATCTGAACTCTCAAAAAATGATCTACCCCTGTACTACAATAAACTTACATGCCACAGTTTTCACATGTCGAACAGAAGATCCCGCAAATCTTTTAGAAAGAATTTCGTTGCAATTTGTTAAGAAAGAGCATGTTTTCAAGGGACTATGGGTTGTATTGTGATTAATTACAGAAGACCATTGCCTCAGCAACCAGTTACTTGTTTGTTGAAGTAAAACGTTATTATCACCCTCGTAACTAACACACGGGTCCACCGTGCTTCGTAAATCGCCAAATCGTGCAGCTTTCAAATATCCATGTCCACCACATGCCTCTCTGCACTCTTGGATCGCGTGCAAACAAGTCCATGTAATCAAAGGCTTTGTAGCTGATATTATTGCATGTATTTCTGATATCATCTCCCTCTACAAGCATGCAATGAGATTTAATCTACAGGTGTACTCGGAGAATACCAAATTATCTATCGCCGTATCTGTGTTGGACATTTCAACGGCGTTTAAGTAATCATCAGTTAGGGACGTTGTAAATATTTTCAGAACAGCTGCGGCGGATACATACGGAAACAGCCGCCATTGCTAAAACGAGAACATCACCAAAGAGTTGCAAAAAAATCATACTAACATGTAACTGATACTCGATAATAGGCACCTCAGGGCCATTGTCAGATCCAAATTGTGTACGCAAAGCAGCGTATCGCACTGCGATAGTAACTGCATTAATCAAATTATTCGAGCCTTCTTGCATGATCCCAACGCGGCCAGCGGACAAATTTTCCAAAGCTGCCCCCAAAAGTTTTCCAGGTTCTGTAAAACTACTTTCATAATCACCATCCTTTGTTACATCGGCAACTCTGTTCAATAAATTCTGACGTGGAATTCTATAATTCTGGAACATTACAAACCTACAAAAGTCCAAATATTAATAAATACACACACAGGCGAAGACTACCCGTTATCGATACCGTTCAGACCAATTTTTTCACCAATGTCGCCAATTATTAATCCAGGATATGGTAAAAGTGTTTTAGGATCTCGCACCGGTACTACAAATGCATGTAAACCAAAACACTGACCACCTGTATAAAGTTGTGCAAAAAGTAATACCATAGTACACGTTTTTCCTGCGGCATTACATCAGTTAGCTACATAAGGTATGTGAAACAATAACAGTATACCTAAATTTCCTACCCAACATTTGGCTGCCTGAAAATCGGGTGTGTTTATAACAAACTCTTCAGTTTCCTGATCGTAAGTTGCTGTAGTCCTCATATTTTTAGCATCACTACCATGTGCAACTTCAGTTAAAGCTAAAGCCGAAAGTGCCTACAATGTACACGTCAACTCGGAGCAAGAACACTAGACTAACACTACCTGTTGATTCCAAAGTTCCTCAATTATATGCTGATGTCTTTCCGTTCCTAGTGTTGTCAAAGTATTTTGAAAAAGATAGACGCCAATAGCCTGTTTGACTGATACAGCCGGACACACTACAGCGAGAGCTTCATTTATGGACATGAGACACCTTGCCTACATTTTCTTTCATTGAATAGAATAATACAGAAGTAAAGGAATTTACCCTATCCTTAACAAATGCCTTGTTGGTGCTTATAGGCATAAATTTGTATTTTCTAAATTGCTGTAATTGCAGCGCCGCTATCCGTTTCTGTTCTTGCGTTGTGGGCTCCTCGTCGAACCTTTGGAAAAGAGGGTCTTCCTCTAAAGTATTCCATATTTTTAACTGCAAAGAAAAAAAGCATGTGAATTAAGGAGATCCATTTTATAATATATCAATTCGAAACACAGGAGGCTCTACATTGGTTTTAGTTAAATAAATTACGTTCTTTTGGTATAAGTATCGCAATTCAAATGTTGATCTCTTAAGGAGATCTTATACGTTCTAAAAGGCTTCATTTGTACAGGTTTTTAAACTGTTTTTAAGGCTCTTAAAGTTCTTTAAAGACCATCCTCAACAGTTATCAAGGATTCACAACACTCTTAACTGCTTTTGACGTATCCTAGGCACACTTGAAAATCTCTAAACATCCTTTGAGACTCTCGACATAGAAACACTGATTCGGTTTGAAAGAGAGCTGAGGATATAACCCCAAGAAGACTCTTAGAGATAGTTTGGGCCTCTTGGAAGCTCCTTGCGAAAATTGAGAACCTTAGAAACCCCTAAAATCCTTTTGGGAACATTTAAAGGCTTCTGCGAACTATAAATCTTTTAAAGCCCCACAAAGACAATTAAATGCTCTCAAGATCTCTAGTGGATCCCTGGAGTTTTTTAAATCATAAGGATTTGCCACATGCCATAAAAGCCACTAAAGTACTTGAAAGCTGTTGGACATAAAACATTTTATTCTCCATTTTATTAATACCTATACGCTCTTTAGAATTTCCTCCAATTCTAAAACAAGTATTACTTTTTAATTACACAATTTGCCTCAAACATAATAGCCACTTAAATTTGTTCGTAATGTAGTTGAAGATTTCTTGTATGATTTTTGCTATTTTTAATCCATGTGGAAGGCGAGAAGCGGCTAAGAGTCGCGGGGAATTTACGTCTAGGTGTAGTAAAATTCTTATGTGTGCGCGCGATCGAGTGAAATGTAAAGTTGCAACAAGTAAGTCTGGATGCTCCACTTACTCCAACCGCCGATTGCGAAAAATAACAAGATACGAAGAATCGCATACGATTTTCAGTAGGGAAATTTTTTCACTCCGCTCGTATTCGGAAACCAGACTTTTGATCCGGCTCATATTCAACAGCACTGTTGCTTGAACTTGTAGAACTCGATTGGCGAAGGTTTGACATCGCTGTCTCTTTTAGTTCTCGAGCTATACCTGAGGAACAGACAGAAAGACGAACAAGACCATCACATACGGGGAATTTTTTTTCTTTCGAAAAATTCCCCTAAAAATGCGACTGAAATTCATCGTGAGTTGTGTAGTGTGTATGGCGAAGACGTTATGTCAAGACAATTGGCAACTTTTCACAACGGCAATAGCCAAATCTCGTCCAGACGATTATCATTTTGCCTTTGTGAATACTCATCAATACCTTCAAGGTATAGCCTACCTACATATTGCAAAAAATTCCAGGACTAGAACCATTCCTCTAACAGTACTTAATTCAAAACCACAGAAGTGAGTTCGGACGGTCTGGCGGGCGGGCGGACAGACGGAAGGACAAAACACAAACAGTAACACTTCTTTAAAATGTTAAAAAAATGTGCTAAAAAATGTAGAATGGTTAATTTTTGAGATTCTTGAAATGGGGTATAGGTAAACGTCTTGCAATTGGGGATTTACTCCTATTTTGAAGTACCAATCCATAACTTTAAAGTGGTGCGGTAAATTCGACCAGATAAATTAGCACCCTCGCTCCAAGAAAACTTGTCTACGGAATTTTCTTCCCCAATAAAACTCGCCCCACATAATTCGTTCTCGAAAAATTTCCGAACAGGGATTGTTTTCTGCCAATTACCGCTTTTCTCCTTGGCTCTCTATCAAAATTCAAAACTGTATGCGCGTATATTCCAGAAACAGGGAGAGAACAGTTCTATATCCTTCATGATACTCTAATGAAAGGTCTCAATAGTAATCCTGAAGCGAAATTTTGTATTATGTCAACCCATTAGCATCTACCATAATACGTATATTTTTGCTGTGTATATTGTAACGTAAATTAAGTGATTTATTTATTTACAATTAACTAACAATAAATTTATAACTGTCTTGAAATTGAATAATTTATAACAGTAATTAGGATTATTAACACATTATATTTCTCGAAAAGAATGCGTCACATCCGCTTTCGATTCTTATCGCTGATGATGACAAATCATTTATGGCGCCTCGATATCTATCGGGATTTCTAGAATATTCGCTACAATATTATTAACATGAATTATAGAACATCTATAATGGAACCCAACAATTTGGGATAGGCTATACATAGCAGTGATTTTAAAAACGAGTTTTCTTAAAGGGCCATTCGTTGAAGTCGAACTTTCCTTAATGTAGATACCTGGCGAAAGAGCCTTCCTCACTATTCTATACGCGAAATACGAAATTATTCAGGGGACAAATTTTCCGGGGCGAATCTTCAGAGGGAGATTTTCCTGAAGGCAAATTTTCGGGGGCGAATCATCTTTTTACAATCATTTTGATACCACAAGTGGTGAAGGCTAGTCACTTTCTAGAACTTTGGTAATTACACCTATCATTCTCGACAGAATTAAGTTTTGTTTCTACTTTTTCTTTTAGGGCCAGTCGAGGCGTGTGGAACTTGTCTGGTTCTAACAGCAATTGGTATAGTCTCTTCTCTCATTGTAAGTGACGTTTCTTGCAGCAAAACCCACGTTCTTTGTAATACTGGTAACATGGGTCAACATTGAAAAGGAAGGAAAAAGGCAAAAAAATAAGAAAAAAACATTTGGATCAGGAAGAACTTCGGAATGTGACACTGTAGGTCCTGAGGTAAGGCGCGTTAAGATGAGTGGAATGATAAACCAGTTGCCAAATTCTTGACAGAACAGCTTCCTAGCTCAATCCAAAAATAGCGCTTTTAGAAGAGGGTCTTCAAAAAATAATAAGTTTAGACAAAAACGTTTCCCACGAAAGTTTATTAGTTTCCGATGTAGAATAAGAATATTCAAGATTTCTACTTATTTGAAAAAATTAAGTAGCCCTACACTTTACCGGAACTGGTAGTCCAAAAGAAATGACCCTATACGCCCTCGGCTATACACCCCAATTCGTCTCGTGTATCCAGTTAAACCCCCATAAATCATTCCTGAAACTAATACAATATATTCTTTGCAAACATGCTTGTGTTATATCGTTCATATCGTGCCATACATTTACATAGTAATTTAGTTGGCATATTGTTTATAAAAACAGATGTTCTAATAATATTTTTTAAAATTGTCAAAATAGAACGAGATCCTTAACATTGCCTTTATTTCCACTGTTTAAAGCGTTTCTGTGTATCAGTACAAAGATTCACATTCGTGAGTGCTCAATAGGGGCATAATTATAATATTTGGCGACCGGTAACAGGACATTTTTTTGCGTGAGTTTTGTTCTGGGAAAACGTTTTTGGAAAATGGAGCAACTGGATATGGAACAGCTTAAAAAACTTCGTACTTCTTCCCGGCAGGGGTTTACGAAAGCGTAGAACGCGTTAGAGGTTCTTTTAGCTGGAGATAGTACTAAGGTAGTTGAAGTGAAAATATCTTGGCAATTATTACAGGAGAGATATGAGACGTTAGTAAGGACAACTGAGGGATTACACTGCCTAATGTCAGCTGATGAAGAAATTTCGCAGGAGAATTTAACCGTAGATATGGATGAAACAGAAAAGTACACCCGTAAATTTCTAACGGGTAAATATGCGGTAGAAGAGGCATTGCAACTTCTTGAGCCTTCACCCAGTCCTGCATCAATACAATCTACTCCTGGAGGATCGACAACAGGCGTAGTTAATATACCGGTTACAGCCAAGAAAATGAAACTACCGGTTATTAACTTGATAAAGTTTGGTGGTTCTACCCGCAAGTGGTTACGGTTCTGGGGACAATTTCAAAAAATAAATCGTGACGCACAAATGTCTACCGAAGACAAATTTGAATATTTAATCGCGGCGATGGTTCCTGGTTCGAGAGCTGCTGAGTTAATTGCACGCTTTCCACCTACTGGCGATAATTATGCAAAAGCTGTAGACAGTTTAAAAAATCGCTTTGGACGTGAAGATTTGTTAGTGGAAGTGTATATTCGCGAACTTTTAACACTAGTTTTGCAGAATGCCAAACGAGGCATTAACTGCGATGCGTTAGGTAGCTTATATGACAAACTTGAGTCACATATGCAGGCGTTAGCAACATTGGGAGTTACTACAGATAAATGTGCTGCTATGTTATATCCATTGCCCATTGGTAGAATCTGCGTTACCTGAGGAACTTTTACGCACGTGGCAACGTACAACGGAGTCGAGACAAGCAAAAGACTGCAAAGAGAAACTCGAAGCGTTAATGCAGTTTATTGGCACCGAAGTCGAAGCTGAGGAGAAAATACGACTGGCCACTGATGGTTTTGGCTTGGTGAACAAAAGCGAGAGGTCCTCAGAGAAAATGAAGGCGAGTGAAGCTCACAAATCCAAGAAAGAGCAAAAGATTGTTCCGACGGCAATGGGTCTTTTGACAACGAAACCGAAAGAGATTTGTATCTTTTGTAATGGTGATCATTCTAGCGCTGACTGCGACAAAGCTCGGTCCATGACTTTGGATGAACGTCAAAAGGTAGCTCGAGATCAGAATTGCTGTTTTAATTGCTTGAAACAAGGCCATAGTTTTCGACGGTGCAGGGTCCAGCTCAAGTGTCAATGGTGTTCTAAGCGTCACGTCATGGTTATGTGTAGAAGCCTGGCGAATAATAAATCGACAGATCAACCTCCGAAAGCTGAGAAGGAAAAGGCTACTACCATAGAACAGAATCTGGCTAATTTTTTAAATTTTCCTGAAGTTTGTTTAATGACATTGACAGTGACACTTCTTCAAGGTAAACGGGAACAGATAGTGCGCGCGGTAATTGACACCGGATCACAAAATTCCTATATACGCGAAGCGGATGCGGTATCTATGGGTTATCATTCAGAAAGAGAGGAAGAAATTGCACACACCCTTTTCGGTGGGGTTAAGACACGGCCTCAAAAACATCATGTGTACCGACTACATTTACGTAGTATCGATGGTAATTACGCTTGTACTTTTCAAGCCAAAAGTCAAGAGAATATTTGTGATAAAATTCCCGCTGTTAAGTTTATGTCGAGCATGCAGGTGTTGAAAAAGCAAGGTATTTTTCTATCAGATGTTGGCTCATCCGTGGAACCGATTAGTATTTTAATTGGAGCTGACATAGCTGGTAAATTGTTGACTGGACAGCGTGTGCAATTAGACAATGGACTCGTAGCACTAGAGACTTTATTGGGATGGACACTAATAGGAAAATTACCTGTTACTACTTCCAAACGAAATGATATAACTTTAAGTGTGATTTCTCTGTTAATTCAAGATCGTGACATTGCCAACTTTTGGGATCTTGAGACTATTGGTATAAAGGACGTGGCAAGTCAGAAATCAAAGGAGACGCGAGAAAAGGAAGTTGTAGAGCGGTTTCTAGAGACAGTGACAGTAAATGAAGAAGGCCGTTATGAGATAGAACTCCCTTGGACTGAAGAACATTTACCGCTACCGTCTAATAGAAGACATGCAGAGAGATTATTTTCGCTTACATGCAGAGAGATTATTTCGCTTACAAAAAAGTTACAATTAGAAA